GCGCAGTATTACTACCAACTTTAGGACAGTGTACACCCATTGATTCATTTACCTCCTGAAGGAATAGAAGTCAGCAGCAGTAAGATTTTGCAGAGGGTCACACAGGTTTCAGGCATGATCTCCATGCTTCATAGGAAGTGTCAGAAGGGGGTAAGAAATCACATCCATGATACTTTTGTTATAATTAAATATATATGACTTATTAGTGTAAGTTTGGCTAGAAGTTATGTTTGTTCTGGACGTTCACAACAGTAAGATGTACAACTTTTTGAGAAACCTTCATTAAAGTAAGTTTTTCTTTCTGTCTTTTATACTTATGAAATCATCTTAGTGCTTTTATTTTTACTCTTCCCTTCTTTACATTTTGAGAGAGATTTCTTAAAGCAGCCCATACTGAGATGTTCCACTGCTCAGCCAAAAAAAAAAACCCTGCAAGCATACACACCAACAGGACACTCAAATCCACAGTGTTTCTGCCTTTCCCGTCCATACAAGAACAGCAGCTACGCTGAATTATACATATACATAAACAGCATTATGAAAAAAGATGATTTGCTGACAAAATTTCTGATGAGAAATCTAGCATAACTGCTCATAAAAGCAATAGTAAGCAAAGTTATATTTAACCTCGTCTGCAGATACCTTGTATAAATGCACATACAACTAGAGAAAATATTTAAAGCATGACTCTGTAGTATTAAATGTCCACTTAAATAAAATTTCTTTTTTTAAAAAAGGCTAATTAATTCAATGTGGTGGTGCTACAGAAAATGTCAAGCCACTGTACTAAAGAGGACTTCTGAGTCTGCAGAGCATTCTTTAATTGTAATAATTTTTATTACATTAATCCTAATAAAATCTTATTAATTTTCAAATTCCTAATAACATTTCTTTAGACGGGGAGCCAATATGAATTATACTTCCAATAGATTTTAAAAATTCTTACAGAGTAATCAAAATAAAACATTTATATTTGTTTGAAAACAAAAATACAAGGAGTTTTAACGAAGAACTTGGCTGGATTTCTGATAAATAGTATTCCTCAATTATTTCTTACATACAAGTTTTTTTTGTTTTAAATAAATAGAAATAGATTTACAGGACTACAGCATTTCATATATGGACTTTGGGTACAATTTTCAGAAGTGCATAAGTCCGAGTGACTTGGCTTCCTAAATCACTTAGGAAAAGGAGACTCAGGATCCTAAGTTATTTAGGCACTTCTGAAAACTCTACCCTTCATGACTTCAATATTCTATGGTCATTGTTGTGAAGTATGAACTTCGCTTGATCTTTGTTTTAGACCCAAGAGTTCCGTTTTCAGTTCTCCAGGCTTAGGCGGCATTTCAGGTATAGTCTATAAAATAAATAAAACAAAGAGGTGTCAGTGCTCAAAATCTGTGACTGATATATAGAAAACTGAGCTAAACAAAACAGAAAATTAGACATCCCCTGAGAGGCAAAAAAGAACACTACATTCAAGTTACAATTTTGTCTCCCTCTTTCTTGAGCTAATTGTAAACTGATCTCTAGCATCAACCAAATTTCTTTCTAATTCAACTTCAACTTCTTACATCTGGCAATTTGACTTTAATCCTTTGGAACAACTTGATCTTGGGGGAGGTGGGGAATACCTTTTCTTTTCCAAGGAACCCTTCCCACAGTACTAAATTCCATTCCAGGGATGGAGAAGAGCCACTGAAACCTGGTTATTTTATAGGACATTAGAAGTGTGGGTGGCATTTTAGTTACTAGAGATCTGAAGTGGACTGTTTTTTCACCATCTCCCTTAAGAATAAAGCTCAAACTGATGTATCCTTCCCTTAATCGTCATGTATTGCCACATGGTTTCCTGATAAGCAGCTGTCTCACTTCAATTAAGTCATCCACCTTTGTAACTGCCATTCCAGTTAACCAGGTCAGGGTGCACGTGCACAAGGACTCCCAAAGATACAATTTGAAAATGGTGGGAGAATATGGGAAGTGCTTGGCCACAGGAACAAGAGCCTCTTCTACTCTTCAGAAGAGGAATGTAGCTGTATTATGTGGCCAGTATATATTTAAATTGCCAAAGGGAGCTTCAGATTATACTCCAAACCAGCATGGGTGATTGTGGAAATTCTCATCCTCACCAGCCCTCACACTGGTCTTGAAGATGAAACACTTACACTAGGGGTGGGGGGAAAAAAATGAACCCTTCACATTATTTAACCTTTGCTGCTTTTAAAGCTATAAGCTTTTAGAGTCTTCACTAGTTTAAATAACTACAGATAAGCATTTTGTACAGCTATACATTTTGTCATTATATGTCAAATAAACCATTTCATAAAATTACTATATACTTCCTAATTACTAATCTACTGGTAGGAAAAGTATCACTCTAAAACTGTGGAAAGATTCTTTAAGGATAATTTTTCTTTTTAAAGAATTCCTGTTTTGAAAAGGGCATTGTGAAACTGGTCTTTTGTTTCCTCTACTAGAGGGCAGATCTACCCCACCACTTTTTGAAATAAAGTTACACAAGTTTAAACAACAAAAGCTCTAATACAGATGGAGTGGGATGTCTTATAGGTTGCAGAAGCTCTAGGGCATTGGTTCAAATTTAAACCTGGTCACCAGTTACCATCCGATGGCTGCTGGATTAAGACAATCGGTTCAAATGAAACCACCCTGTATCTAGTGATTGCAATGTGGACGCATCTTCTATCACCGCAACTGGTACTTTTATCAGCAGCCTTATGAGAGAAGCCAAAGTTCTAATAGGCATGGAAACAGAAGTTACCCCCTCTCCCCTCGAAGGATTGCCTCCAGATCAGGGAGAAGACATATGGGTGGTACACTGTGGAGTACCTTGTGCTGGTATTGCCATAATTTCTATTCTGTGGAGATAAAAAAAAATCTGCAGTCCTGAAGAGTGATGTTAAGTATTAAATTCAGTTTCTTTTTAATAGATTTGTTCTTAACAGCAAAATTTTGATTCTATTTCCTCTACATTTTTGGGAAAGATGGAAGAATAAATAAAAAGAGTGTATAATAGCTCCATCTGAGAAGATAATAAAAGCTCAGTTACCACTGCGTTAATAAGACAGCAACTGTTTACATCGGAGCCACATAAAATACTTTACGCTCTATGCAGCCACACTTTGCATCTGCACAGGTGTAGTAATAGTAGATTATGCTAGTGTATAAATAAGGCAACAAAGCCATGTTAATTTCAGCTCCATTTTTTGAAGCGAAGGAATATTGTGGGAAGAGAGAATGGTTTTCCTAATGTAAAAGGGACAAAGTAAGGAAAAAAAAAAGGTTGTAAGAGTCAACAGCTTGGGAAAATATGGGAGGTAAAAAGCAAGCTGTAAGACTCAGATGTCAAACCATTACAATATTTTTTCAACATTTGATTTGCATGGATTTTCACCCCTTACATTTCTAGACAAAGTGAACTATAAATCTCTACCAAGACTGGTTTCAAAGTAGCAGCCATTTTAGTCTGCATACATAAAAAGAAAAGGAGTACCTGTGGCACCTTAGAGACTAACAAATTTATTAGAAGCATTTCACCTGGTTTAGGATTGAATTCACAAAAATGTCACATGCTTTCCACTCCAATCATAAGTAGATCCAACTTTGCCCAGAAGTTCACTTCGGAGCTTTAGGCCTTAATAAAACAAGTTAACCTTTTCCTGGTTCTGTGTCCAATTCCTTTAAAAACAAAGATTTATTATATACTTTCAAGTCCTGGAAAAATTACTACCTCCGCATGTAGTATTGCGTTACTACTACAATCTGCTTCCCAACCAAGCTGTGAAAGCAACTAACTGCTGACTCTGATTTAAGTGAAAGAAGAAAACAAAATATATCTTGTAGATATTACCAACTTGGGATTCTAGCTCTTCTAGTCTAGAGCTGAAGAGAATCTTTTAACTCCAGAGAAAAGGTAACTTTGACAAAAATACGCTTAGAAGAGTACCAATTTTCATTGCACTCTAATACACATTGTTCTTCAAAACTGAGGGAAAATCCCAAGACATGACTTTCTAGCAGCTTCACATATTTGCCTCTTTTTCCTTATTATTGTACTTACAAACAAGCATATCAACCTTTTGAAATGGAAGTGTTTTGGTATTTTTGCCACAGTGACCTTAACTATGTCCACTGAACAGCATTCCTATAGGAGAAATTTCAAAACGCATATTACTTAGCAGTTATAAGTGAAATGAAAATCAAAACCTTAAATCACTTACAAGATCAGGTCTGTAATATCTATGCACAACTTCTGCACCTGCAAACATAGCCAGTGTACTTGCACTGAGCATTTTCAAGTAGCGAGGCCAAGATACCCCAGCGGGCATGATGAAGAGCAGACGGCACTTGAGATTGGAATACTCCAACTGACCGAGTGAAAAATTAGGGAAAAAAAGTTGCAATAAATTAGTATGCCAACTAGCCCACTCTGAAATACAATTCGCCCTATTGGAATCTGTTAACAAGAAACTACACCCACCTTCGGCAGGAAATAGAGATGGGGTGGGGAAGCCTTTTGCAATGGAGCCTCACTTAAAAAGTTTAAAAGCAAGTAAAGAAGAAACCGTGCTTTTAAAATGTTCAAACCTCTTAAACACACTACAGAGGTAACAGCTCCCCCCGTGGACATCAGCCGACGGGACTCTTTGTCCTTACCCCCAAAGGCACCTCCACAAACTCTGGAGAGAACCCCACTGCCCAACCATGCTACACACATCATCCTGTGCCGGTGATTAAGGCATGGAAAATGCACCTACCTGCATGCAGCGAAGCTCCACTACACCGGTCTGACAGCGCTTGTGCTCTGTCCCGGACACTGAACATTAGGAGGAGGTCCCGGATGACAAGCTGTCCGCTCACAACAGCCCCAAGAGCCCTGGGACAAGCTGGCCGACCCGGCCTTCCGCAGAAAAGGAGGAGCCGAGCGCCTCTCATCACATCATGTGACTCAGGGCAGGCCGGTCATACCTCACGTGAGTATAGCGGCTGCTACGGAGCTACGGCCATTGCCCGTCTGTCCTCGCCTCCCCGCAAATGGGAGACCCCCATAGGGAGCCGCTGCTGCGAGGCCCCCTTCCAAACTGGCTGGGGAGAGAGGATGCTGCGGTGATTAGGGAGGCGCCCTCACTGTTCCCTTGTTTGGCTCAGTAAGTCTGTGTTCATTCATATCCCTGAATGGCCTAACGCATCCGTCAGAGACTCTCTGCTCTGTCCGTAGTACACAGCAGTGGCCTAAAGGCTTAGCCCACTGTAGCAACCCACCCCCCCGAGGTAAGAGTAGCATTAACTGAGTGATTGCCTTAACAGTAAAATGCTGTAGGAATAGGATAGTAACTCCTAACGCTAGGAACTGTAGTTATGTTAACAATCCGGGAACAGTATTAGGACTGGCCAAGGGTCAGAATGTTTGGTGTTTTTCATTAGTTGTCCCCGGTTCTTGGCGTTGTGTGATTATGTGAGCGTCTCAGCTTTTGGGGTTGTTGGGTTTTTTTAGGTTTCTAGCCCTCGTGATTGTGGGAGAAAGCTTGGAAATGTGACAACTACAGGCTCAAAGATAAGGCAAATATTTTTATGTCCGTCTCATATTCGGGGCCTGATTCATGATTGTTGGCATTTTGTGGTAGCAGAATTGTAGTTCTATGGTAACACTAGTTGCCTTGTTACAATATAGGCCCTACTCTTGCAAACATTTACATGCCTTCTTAACTTTATACGTGTGAACCATGATCTAGCAAGGCACTTTTGCGTGTGCTTAACTTTAAGCATAAGTAGCCCTGTTGGCGTCAATGGGCCTAGTCACATGCACATAGGAAGGCATGGGTATAAGTGTTTGCATGATCAGAGCTGCAGTAGCCATACGGAAATACACTAGTTCTCTGTTGTAACTCTATAGTAAGCTGCAGCGTTAAGAACTGTTACTTTGGAATACGGTGGTAGTTTCTTTTAAAGGCTTTGGAATGCCTTTTAACAGTTACTAGAGACTGCTTATTGGATTTCTTCCTTCCCTTGTGTTATGTTACTTTTCCGGCATGCACTTGCATTGATGTGCACAGAGCAAGCAACCAGTAGTATGGGCAGGTTTGATGGACTGCCTGGCAAACACTGATCACAGTCTGTCTTTAGTCTCCCCAATAAGAAGTACACAGGCGCTTTTTAACGTCTTATGGTCAGCGATGCCTTAACTGTGACCAAAGCCCAGCCTCTCAGCCGCGTCCGACTTCACTGTGGCTCAGTGTGAGAGCCATGCTTACTAGGAATGTCAGTTAGCAGATTGAAAAGTTTCAGAGGAACAGCCGTGTTAGTCTGTATTCGCAAAAAGAAAAGGAGTACTTGTGGCACCTTAGAGACTAACCAATTTATTTGAGCATGAGCTTTCGTGAGCTACAGCTCACTTCATCAGATGTTTACCGTGGAAACTGCAGCAGACTTTATATACACACAGAGAATATGAAACAATACCTCCTCCCACCCCACTGTCCTGCTGGTAATAGCTTATCTAAAGTGATCAACAGGTGGGCCATTTCCAGCACAAATCCAGGTTTTCTCACCCTCCACCCCCCCACACAAATTCACTCTCCTGCTGGTGCTAGCCCATCCAAAGTGACAACTCTTTACATAATCAAGTCGGGCTATTTCCTGCATAGATCCAGGTTTTCTCACATCCCCCCCACCCCCATACACACACAAACTCACTCTCCTGCTGGTAATAGCTCATCTAAACTGACCACTCTCCAAGTTTAAATCCAAGTTAAACCAGAACATCTGGGGGGGGGGGTAGGAAAAAACAAGAGGAAACAGGCTACCTTGCATAATGACTTAGCCACTCCCAGTCTCTATTTAAGCCTAAATTAATAGTATCCAATTTGCAAATGAATTCCAATTCAGCAGTTTCTCGCTGGAGTCTGGATTTGAAGTTTTTTTGTTTTAAGATAGCGACCTTCATGTCTGTGATTGCGTGACCAGAGAGATTGAAGTGTTCTCCGACTGGTTTATGAATGTTATAATTCTTGACATCTGATTTGTGTCCATTTATTCTTTTACGGAGACTGTCCAGTTTGACCAATGTACATGGCAGAGGGGCATTGCTGGCACATGATGGCATATATCACATTGGTGGATGTGCAGGTGAACGAGCCTCTGATAGTGTGGCTGATGTTATTAGGCCCTGTGATGGTGTCCCCTGAATAGATATGTGGGCACAATTGGCAACGGGCTTTGTTGCAAGGATAAGTTCCTGGGTTAGTGGTTCTGTTGTGTGGTATGTGGTTGTTGGTGAGTATTTGCTTCAGGTTGCGGGGCTGTCTGTAGGCAAGGACTGGCCTGTCTCCCAAGACTTGTGAGAGTGTTGGGTCATCCTTTAGGATAGGTTGTAGATCCTTAATAATGCGTTGGAGGGGTTTTAGTTGGGGGCTGAAGGTGACCGCTAGTGGCGTTCTGTTATTTTTTTTGTTAGGCCTGTCCTGTAGTAGGTAACTTCTGGGAACTCTTCTGGCTCTATCAATCTGTTTCTTCACTTCTGCAGGTGGGTATTGTAGTTGTAAGAAAGCTTGACAGAGATCTTGTAGGTGTTTGTCTCTGTCTGAGGGGTTGGAGCAAATGCGGTTGTATCGCAGAGCTTGGCTGTAGACGATGGATCGTGTGGTGTGGTCAGGGTGAAAGCTGGAGGCATGCAGGTAGGAATAGCGGTCAGTAGGTTTCCGGTATAGGGTGGTGTTTATGTGGCCATTGTTTATTAGCACTGTAGTGTCCAGGAAGTGGATCTCTTGTGTGGACTGGACCAGGCTGAGGTTGGTGGTGGGATGGAAATTGTTGAAATCATGGTGGAATTCCTCAAGGGCTTCTTTTCCATGGGTCCAGATGATGAAGATGTCATCAATATAGCGCAAGTAGAGTAGGGGCTTTAGGGGACGAGAGCTGAGGAAGCGTTGTTCTAAATCAGCCATAAAAATGTTGGCATACTGTGGGGCCATGCGGGTACCCATAGCAGTGCCGCTGATCTGAAGGTATACATTGTCCCCAAATGTGAAATAGTTATGGGTAAGGACAAAGTCACAAAGTTCAGCCACCAGGTTAGCCGTGACATTATCGGGGATAGTGTTCTTGACGGCTTGTAATCCATCTTTGTGTGGAATGTTGGTGTAGAGGGCTTCTACATCCATAGTAGCCAGGATGGTGTTATCAGGAAGATCACCGATGGATTGAAGTTTCCTCAGGAAGTCAGTGGTGTCTCGAAGGTAGCTGGGAGTGCTGGTAGCGTAGGGCCTGAGGAGGGAGTCTACATAGCCAGACAATCCTGCTGTCAGGGTGCCAATGCCTGAGATGATGGGGCGCCCAGGATTTCCAGGTTTATGGATCTTGGGTAGTAGATAGAATATCCCAGGTCGGGGTTCCAGGGGTGTGTCTGTGCGGATTTGATCTTGTGCTTTTTCAGGAAGTTTCTTGAGCAAATGCTGTAGTTGCTTTTGGTAACTCTCAGTGGGATCATAGGGTAATGGCTTGTAGAAACTCGTGTTGGAGAGCTGCCGAGCAGCCTCTTGTTCATATTCCGACCTATTCATGATGACAACAGCACCTCCTTTGTCAGCCTTTTTGATTATGATGTCAGAGTTGTTTCTGAGGCTGTGGATGGCATTGCGTTCCGCATGGCTGAGGTTATGGGGCAAGTGATGCTGCTTTTCCACAATTTCAGCCCGTGCACGTCGGCGGAAGCACTCTATGTAGAAGTCCAGTCTGCTGTTTCGACCTTCAGGAGGAGTCCATCTAGAATCCCTCTTTCTGTAGTGTTGGCAGGGAGACCTCTGTGGATTAGTATGTTGTTCAGAGGTATTTTGGAAATATTCCTTGAGACGGAGACGTCGAAAATAGGATTCTAGGTCACCACAGAACTGTATCATGTTCGTGGGGGTGGAGGGGCAGAAGGAGAGGCCCCGAGATAGAACAGCTGCTTCTGCTGGGCTGAGAGTATAGTTGGATAGGTTAACAATATTGCTAGGTGGGGTGAGGGAACCATTGCTGTGGCCCCTTGTAGCATGTAGTAGTTTAGAAAGTTTAGTGTCTTTTTTCTTTTGTAGAGAAGCAAAGTGTGCGTTGTAAATGGCTTGTCTAGTTTTAGTAAAATCCAGCCACGAGGAAGTTTGTGTGGAAGGTTGGTTCTTTATGAGAGTATCCATTTTTGAGAGCACTTTCTTAATCTTTCCCTGTTTGCTGTAGAGGACACAAATCAGATGTCAAGAATTATAACATTCATAAACCAGTCGGAGAACACTTCAATCTCTCTGGTCACGCAATCACAGACATGAAGGTCGCTATCTTAAAACAAAAAAACTTCAAATCCAGACTCCAGCGAGAAACTGCTGAATTGGAATTCATTTGCAAATTGGATACTATTAATTTAGGCTTAAATAGAGACTGGGAGTGGCTAAGTCATTATGCAAGGTAGCCTGTTTCCTCTTGTTTTTTCCTACCCCCCCCCCAGATGTTCTGGTTTAACTTGGATTTAAACTTGGAGAGTGGTCAGTTTAGATGAGCTATTACCAGCAGGAGAGTGAGTTTGTGTGTGTATGGGGGTGGGGGGGATGTGAGAAAACCTGGATCTATGCAGGAAATAGCCCGACTTGATTATGTAAAGAGTTGTCACTTTGGATGGGCTAGCACCAGCAGGAGAGTGAATTTGTGTGGGGGGGGTGGAGGGTGAGAAAACCTGGATTTGTGCTGGAAATGGCCCACCTGTTGATCACTTTAGATAAGCTATTACCAGCAGGACAGTGGGGTGGGAGGAGGTATTGTTTCATATTCTCTGTGTGTATATAAAGTCTGCTGCAGTTTCCACGGTAAACATCTGATGAAGTGAGCTGTAGCTCACGAAAGCTCATGCTCAAATAAATTGGTTAGTCTCTAAGGTGCCACAAGTACTCCTTTTCTTTTTGCGAATACAGACTAACACGGCTGTTACTCTGAAATCAGTTAGCAGATTGCGGATCCCCTCTCTGCAGCCCCAGGAATCTCAGAGCGTCCCGCCTTCTGGGCTGGGAGCGTGTCTAGCGTGGACCCAGTCGCGAATGCTGCCCAGTGACCAGCCCCCCTTGCACTGCCAAGAGAAAAAGCCGGAAAGTGGGAGGGAGTCAGAGAAAACTGGAGCCATGGAACAACCCCGGCGCATGGCAAACGTCCTGGGTCTGTCTGTCATCTAACAGGCTGGGGGGCGGGGTGGAGGCAGTCATCCAACAGGCTGCTGTGGTCCCTGGTGGTGGTGGGAGCAGGGAGACCCCCGCCCCCTTTCACCCCATTTCTCCTCTTCTGCCTTCTCCCCACCCCCGCGAGCCTCGTGGTCATGGCCCGTGCCTGATCCGGATTGGCTGCCGTTCCCCACGTGACCGCTCGGCAGGCAGGCAGGTCGGCGGCGCTGTGCGCTTGAGGCGGAAGGGGCCGGGGGGGGGGGTCTGCGCGGGGAGGGGGCAGCGGACGGGTTCTGCTGTTGGCGCTCGCGGCAGCCCGCTAGGCCGGACGCACCAGCGCTCGGGGATGGAAGCCGAGGAGCCGGGCAGGTACACGGGACAGCCGGGCCTGGGCCTGGGCCTGGCGCGGGGAAGGCCCCTGCCCTCCCCATCTCCCCCCGCCCCACCCCTGAGCCGGCTGCCCGGCTCCCAACGGCCGGGCCCGGCGCATGGTGACGTAGGCGGGGCGGGGCCTGGGGGCCGCCGCCGCAGGGAGGGTGCCCAGGGGGTGCTCGGCCTGTCTGTCCGCGCGTGGCAGGGTGCGAAGGGGGGTAGAGCGGGCGGGGACTGTGGATGTCGTCGCGCGGGGGGGGGGTGTATTGTGTGTGCGGATGGGGGGGGGTCTCTAAGGTGCCACAAGTACTCCTTTTCTTTTTGTGTATACTAAGGGTGTATGGAGCAGGGGCCGCGGCGGGGCGTCTCTCTGTCTGTCTCTTCAGTTGCATCTGAAGAGTTGGATTTTATTACCCCCGAAAGCTTATGTCCAAATAAATCTGTTCGTCTTTAAAACGTCACCGGACTCCTCGTTGTTTCTCTGTTTATGCTAAGGGTGTATGGATCAGGGACCTGTGTCTGTGTGGGAGTTTGTGCCCATAGATGGGGGTTGTATTGAGCAGAGACCCTATGTTGGGTGGGTCTGTGAGTATATATGGGGAGGCATATCTGGCGTAGGCGCCTCTGGTGTGCCTGGGTATGGGTTGCAGGAGTGTCTCTGATGTCACTCGCCAGTGTTTGGTACAGTATTGCTTAAAGATACAAAACAGTGTGCATTATGCCTCAAATCACCTAGGCACCTATAACATCTTGCAACCCAGAGTGCTTCACGCACTCTGTATGTGTTAGATAAAGTAAAATAATTTGCCAACTTTGAATTTACTTAATCTTCCTTCAAAAGTCAGGTAATTCTAATTGTTTTATGCAGTGTTGTAGCCATGTCGGTCCCAGGATACAACGTAGTAAGGTAATATCTTTTACTCAGCCAACTTCTGTTGGTGAGAGAGACAAGCTTTCAAGCCCACCTAGAGCTCTGCTTCAGGTCAGAGTTCTGTATGGACGCTCCCTGACTTACGCAATCGTTCCGTTCCAGAAAGCCTTGCATAACTCAAATTTTGTGCAAGTCGGAAATGTATACCCGAACATTATGCAAAAAAACAACCCAAAACCCTCTCCTATTTCTAGCTTACGGAACTTTTTCCGTAAGTGCGAATTTGCGTAAATCGGGTCTTGCGTAACCCGGGGAGCGTCTGTATAAGCTTGAAAGCTTGTCTCTCTCACCAACAGAAATTGGTCCAATAACAGATGTTATCTCACCCACCTTGTATCAAATAAATCTAAGGCTTGGTCTGCAATACAGAGTTAGGTCGTTGTAAAGCAGCTTACATCAAGCTAACTCTGTAAGTGTCTACATTACAATGTTGCTCCCACTCATGTGGGTCCACCACTACGCTGACCTAACAATTCTACCTCTGCGAGAGGCATAGCACTTAGGTTGATGTAGTGAGAGTGACACAGTGTCTGTGTAGACGCTGCGTTACTTAAATTTCCCGTAGGTTGTCAGCTCAGTACAGGACTCATCACTGTCAGTGCCCCACACAGGTAAGCTGGTGGAAGTACTCCTGGTAAGGATGTGCACCACAGACATAGGGGGCGTAGTGTGGACATGAACCACTGCAGTAACTACTGACTTAGGTCGACTTAATTTGGTAGCTTAGGCAAAGCCAAAGTTAGTTGGATGATAGCTTTAACTTACCTAGATTGCCCACATTCTGTGTATTTGACAGTATACTTTTAAGAACATAAAGTGTTATGTGTTATAATTAAGGCTAAGATTTAGTCATAGGTATTTTTGGTAAAAGTCATGGACGGGTCACGGGCAATAAATACAAATTCACGGCCCATAACTTTTACCAAAAATACCTGTGACTAAATCTCTACTTCTGGGGCCCCACTGCCCCCGGAGGGGGCCTGCTGGGGAGGTGGGGAGCTCTGCTTCAGTGCTGGGGGTTGACCTCCCCCCAAACCCTTCTGGTTGCTGCTCCTGGGGACTGCTCTCTGGACTGCTGCTGCTGCTCAGGCAGTCCCCAGGGTACCCCCAGGACCGCTGCTCAGGCACTCCCCGGGGAGTCAGCCACACCGGCTGTTGTTCCAGTGGTCACCGAAGCCAGCTGCCCAGGGCCGCCCAAGCAGCAGGTAGTGTGACTAGCCCTGGGATCTCTGCTCTGGCATTCACCGGGGCTGCCCCCAGGACTGCTGCTTGGACGGTCCTCGGGACCAGCCCCACTGGCTGCTACTTGCGTGGTCCCAGGAGCCAGCTGCCTCCCGAGCAGTGGCTGGAGCAGCTGGCCCTGGGTCACTCCAGCAGCGGCCAGTGCGACTGGCTGTGGGGTGCCCAAGCAGCTGGCCCCAGCTGCTGCGGAAGTCATGGGGGTCTTGGAAAGTCACGGAATCTCTGACTTCCGTGATGTCTGTGAAAGAATCACAACCTTTAGTTATAATTGTGTTATAGAAAAGTGGAAGAAAATAAGGCATATATTTAATGTGACTGTAATAATCTGAATATTCTGATTCTTGTATGCTTAATATTAAATTAATTAAAAAGAAGATGGGGTGTTCAGCAATGTTTGATTCCCATTCTGTGATCAGAAGCATTGACCATTTATTTAATGGAATTGGATGTTCTACATGTTGCTGTAATAGACTGTAACTGGAGAATGTAACATGCAGTGTATGCCAACCCTGGTTAAGAATGTCATGATTTTATTTTGATTAAGTAATGTACTGAACAGGTTATAAACTTAAGAAAATTCTGAAAGATTAATGTTATATGGCTAACAATACTAACTTTTTTTCTTTTAAGATATTATTCTCCTCTTCAGCAAGCTCAAGCATTTTATACATTTCCATTCCATCAAATGATGACTGCAGCTCCTAACATGGAAATTATGAATGAACAACAGACTGTAGAGGGCATTCCAGATCCAGACTTTGCTCAAGAACCTATTCAAGGTAGTGTGACCAAATTAATATAACTTAATAAAATTTAAAATCTTGATTAACAAGGCTGAAAATGAAATTGATTCTTAGTAGTTGATTTTCAAGGATGATTTGTCTTAATAATTTGCTTCTCTAGTCTCCTGGTTTTTCTCTTTTTGGCACTCTTTGAACAAGTGTTCAGAAACTTGTTTTTTGTAACATATTTCTAAAAGAATAATGAAAATATTGCTGCATGTATATAGGAAAATACAAAGCAAACCCTGGTTGTAGTTTTGACATTGGTCAGTCTTAGGGGCGTATTCCTTCACCCGCTTACTTCCCTGGTCCTTCTTTCATGAACAGAGAGCAACAATTGATGTTTATTGGGGTGAACTTCCAGCAAGCATGATTTCAAAGAGCCCAATAGCACCTTATTTCAATGTAACTAGTTTAAAATGTAAAAATGTGATCGTTCACTTCCCAGCTTATGGCTGCCTCTGCTGCTTAAGAACCTAAGAACAGGGCCTCAAAACTGTCACAGTAAAAAAAGGCCTTTACACCAGCAAACAGTAATTTTTAATTCTTTCTTTTATACCTCTATAGCTAAGTAATAAAAATACACCTAAATTCTTAAAGTATAGGCCTTTACAAACAGGCCTAAATATCTATATCCTAACATTCAGCCTTGCCAAATTCTGATCTTTCATGATGAATGAAAATTTTCATAGGCGAGTAAACTACGATTAGTTGATTTTGTGTTGTGGTTTTTCTAAATCAGTCATCATGGTAAAAGGCCGGCAGCTAGACTTTTTTTTTTGCTTCAGCTAGTAAATGTTCATAGCAATTTTGTAAAATTAGCATAGTAGGATCTTGTTTTACTGAAAGTCTTTATTAGGGATACATATTTAATTACTTTGTTTTTGTGGTGAATTATTTTTAATTACTACTTTAAAAACGAACTTTAACCCACCTACAAATATGAGAAGGCTAGAAAACACGTCTTGAGATACGTTTCAGTTGGGTGCTCTGAGCATTTCTAGGTAGGCCCTATTATCTTTAACCTTCATATATATCTTCCCTTTATTAGTTTTGGTGCTAAGTGTGCCAGAATGGGAGCCTGTGTAATATTGTCACCTTATTGCTTACTACTTGTAATGTCTGCCATACTTGAATGCTAGTTCTAAATCATTAGTAACTGTACTTTTCCACTATTTCAGAATTAATCCTTTATCCATATTTTGAATATAAGTGTGAGTCTCTCTGTATTAACATAATGCAAGAATGTTAAATCTGGGATGATGGTATCCCAGGCCTAATTGTGTGCCACATCTACATAAATATTTACTTTCACAATAGTTGCTGTAACCCTTGGCAAGATTAAATTGTATAGTTCTCCATCTTCTAGTTCAAGCAGTAAATGCTCTGCTCACTCTAACAGAGACACTATATTATTCACTACAGTTAGTGCACAACTGTAGTATTGTATTTAGTACAGTTAGGCGTCTCATGTTGTGTTACGTGTTGTGATGAGGAAACAGTGTCTTTTAATTACGCTTCCATTTTGCTTTAGGTATTCCAGTAGTGTTCTGTTGAGCTATTCCAGGTCTTGCTGTAAACACTGAGAACTAGGTGAAGTCTCCTCAGGCTCATTAGCAGGGCATGAAAAACTAACCAGACACCTACTAACAAGAAGACTAAACCTACTCTTCGGAGATAGATATGAAAGATCAGGGTGGTGTGACTCCTCTGGTGAGAAGCCCATCAACTCCTAGCCTTGGGAAGGGAGAGGTTGTTGGGGTTTCCTGTTAGGATGCTGTCCCTGGACCCTGTTTGGGAGCTCCATCTGTAGTGATAGTCTGGGTAGTAGGTTTCTGATAAATTTGAAATTCAACCCTGTTTTTGCTGCTGGGATTGGGAAAGACCTTGCTCTTCTCCCTTGAGAGTCTGCCTACTGGGAGTAGGGGTGGGTCTCTTCCATTCTGTGACTACTGGCAAAGATTTCTTGCTCCTGCAAGGAGAGGAAGAGGGAGGGAGATCTGTTGTTCTATCACTGCTACAGACTTCAATTTTTTGGGTCCTCCTTCCTTATGAAATAACTCAGTGCCTGACTGCTGCTGTTTTTAGCTTTCCTAAATAGCAGCAACAAGAGTGTGAAATTAACATGATTCTTGACAGTTTTGCTGTTGCCCACTGCAGTTCTGCATAGCCGCAGTGAAATAGATTACTGTGGTGCTAATTTTGTTATGCTACTGCTTGGCAAAGTGCCACAGATGCATCATGGATGTCTGCAGACTCAGGAAGGCAGTGAGTATTATATTTTTCTCATCTCCAAGATTATTCTCATGCTGAAAGTTCTTAAAAAATAAAATAAAAGCTTAAATTTTGCATTAGTTGATGGGGTTAGGCTTATCACTTGCCATTGTTAAATGGGCATTTGAGTTTTTCAAGCCCTGTTCATTAGTGTCACAGTGTTAGGATGTCAAGAATCAGAGGGGTAGCCATGTTAGTCTGTATCCACAAAAACAACAAGGATTTTGGTGGCACCTTAAAGACTAACAGATTTATTTGGGCATAAGCTTTTGTGGGTAAAAAATCCCACTTCTTCAGACATTTTTTACCCACGGAAGCTTATGCCCAAATAAATCTGTTAGTCTTTAAAGTGCCACCGGACTCCTCAATATTAGGATGGTGGGTAGAAAGTCGTCACTAGGATCACATGTCATGACCAAAGTAGTGTCAGAACTGATAGTAAGTATAGAAATTCTATGCTAGAAGTTTATAAAGATTTTTTTTTTTCCTCAACTGCATGAATTACTTTCTGTTCATATATATCCTGGATAACAAATTCCCTTCTAGTCTCACTTTGTCAAATGGAAAGGATAATGGTGCACTCAAGTTTTTAAGTTATGCCTCACTGGAGGATGTCTATTCAGAGAAGGATAAACTCTAAATAGATTGTGCAATTTTATTTAAATTTTCTATATATGCTGTATGGCTGGTTTTGTGGTATAGGCAAGCTTATATCTTACATCGTGTGTTATTTATCTTCCCTCTTTCTTTTGATACACCATTCACCCAGCACCCTGAAGTATGCTAGGTGCTGAGAAACTGATCTCTAGTCATCAGCCTTTGCTTGTATATATCAGCTGAAGTCCCCATAGCAGAGTAGAACTTACAGTATTATTCATTTGAATTTAGACTTTACTGCTTCTGCCTCCACCCACAAAACAAAAGAAAAGCTTATGAAATTTTCTTACCTCTTGAAGTGTTTCCATATATGGTGTACTGTATATGGCATATTAGCCTAAATTATCTGTGTGACTACTGCCATCTTGATTTGTGTTCTGTAGCCACAACATTGTAGTTTCTTCCACTGTGAGAACTGAAGTAGTGGTAGTTTGTTCAGGGTGGTTGTTTCTTTTTTTTTTTTTTTTTTTTTCAATTTATATTGAAACCCCCCCCCCCCCAAAAGAACTGGAGGGAGACAAAAAGAACAGGAAAGGAAAGGAAAGGAAGGGGGGCATGGAGGGGAAAGGAGAGCAACATCTCAGTTTCCATCTGCTTGGAATTACTAAAGATTTTTAGAAAGTCAGACCAAATATTTTCAAATTTATTTGAGATCCCTCTTCTCTGAAATATTACCTGCTGCTGGTCAGCAAACCGTGGAGGCTGTCTGCTCTGCTGTCTAAGCAATATGAGTTTGTGGCCTTTTTTGTTTTTTAAATAAATTACTATGCATTCATAGTGGCTACTCTGATTATATGTGCATGTAGTTTTTGCTCTGCATGTATTTTCAACATCGAAGAACTTTTAAAGGTTTTGTTTGTTTGTTTTTTGAACAATTCTCAAATAGTGAGACAAGATGGGGCAGCTAAGCATATAAGGAAATAGGAAAAACTCCCAGTATTTACTGTGGCTATCAAGCATGTAACTCTTCAAGTCAGTTATAATTTATAGCTGAACTCTGACATGTGTCTATAAAGGGTTATCTGCAAAACTTAAATTCTCTAGTGAAGTCCCAGATGGCCAAAGAATTAGCAATAAACATAGTTAATTAGGAGGTATGGTAGGGAACTTGTATATGTACTTTTGTTGAGCACATCTTAAATTTTCTATAAAGTAACCATTTTTGTGTGTGATGTTCATTAAGCCAGAACCATGGTTTTGATTTAGGTGATCCTGTCAAGTGATATTCCCTGTGAGATAAAGTAGCATTCCATTGGACAATGAGTCTAATTTTCATCACTAGCAAATGAAACCAAATGCTCCCCTTTTACGTGTCCAGCAACTGTCAAAGCAAAATATGCCAGTACTGTCTGTCTGTTAGTATGAACCTAAACCTCCACAACATCACTTTCTGACATGGGCTAGTGCTGTTCACAGACCAAACCTGGAATACAGAGCTTCAGCTGAAGGGTGTTTTATGTAAGGATTATTTTGCATGAATATTTTGAAGATGAGAACAGTTTTTAGTAGACAAGTTTAAAATTTGAGCAGCATATTTTTGTATTAATGTTTGACATCAATATTATTAAAGAGTTCTACACTTTTAGAAAAGCCATGCAAAAAGGAAACTATTAATATGTGTTTCAGAAGTTACAAAGGGAAGGAAGAGAAAAACCAGATCAACAGAGCCAAAGAAACCAGCTGCTAAAGCAGCTAAATCAACTAAATCAAAAGGCAAACAAGAGAAGATCACAGATACATTCAAAGTGAAAAGAAAAGTGGACCGTTTTAATGGTGTATCCGAAGCTGAACTTTTGACCAAGACTCTTCCTGATATTTTGACCTTCAATCTGGATATTGTAATTGTAAGTCATACATTTTAAGTAACATTTTGAAGTCTAACTCATGAATTATTATTTACTTTATTGTTTATCTAGCATTTTCATGATGAGGTTTCACAGGATAAAGTAACATCCAAGTTGTTGTTTGTGTACAGTAGTTTCATGCTTTCTGCCAAGGATTATAGTAACTGCATTCTAGTTTATGGAAAAAATCTTAAATTTAAATATGAGGGAAGGTGGAAACTGTTCATACTATTATTCAGTGTTCTTTCCTTATTGTTTTCCCCCTAAGTGCTACACCTAACTGTTGTAAAATACATGTTGCGGTAATGCTGTAATGTTACACCTATAAACTGAGATCTTGTCTTAAATTTTTAAAATCTTGAAATAATTGAAAATTGTTAATTGAGCTCTGATTAATAGGCTTGACAAATGCATTATTATGCATTTCCAAGTAATTAGATCAGTTTGATAAACGTATTTCCTTTTCCCTTCATTATTTTAATCTGTTTTTGAAGCTACAATTTACTAATGCTTTGCTCTGTAGATTGGCATAAACCCGGGTTTAATGGCAGCCTACAAAGGGCATCATTACCCTGGACCTGGAAACCACTTTTGTAAGTTTATTGTTATTTTCTTCTTTTTATTGGGATTTGCAGAAATCTGTCATAAGATTACAATTCAAATGAGGCTGTTTGTATTTTTTAAACACTCTCAGCATTGTCTGTAATTTAATGACAGGCACATACTACTATGTTCTATCATGTAAAGCCACACACACAAAACAAAGATGGATCGTCAGTGATTCCTCTGGTCTTGTTTATAAATGCGGGTTCAGAATTATGTAAACATAGTTACGGATTATATAATTGAAAAAATGACTTTGTTTAGTCTTAGTTTATTACAGCATATAATTAAATCAAAATCAAATGACAAATATTTGTGTTTTCATAGTTTTTTTTAATAAGTCAGCGGTCACCAACTTTCAGAATAAAAACAGACCATATTTCCCAAATACAATTTTCTGAATGCCCTACCAATTCTGTAAAAAGAACAGGAGTACTTGTGGCATCTTAGAGACTAACAGATTTATTTGAGCATAAACTTTCGTGGACTATAGCCCACTTCTCAGAAACTGCTGAGCTTGAATTAATATGCAAACTAGATACCATTAACTTGGGTTTGAATAAAGACTGGGAGGGGCTGGGTCATTACACATATTGAATCTATTTCCCCATGTTAAGTATCCTCACACCACCTTGTCAACTGTCTAAATGGGCCATCTTGATTATCACTACAAAAGTTTTTTTCACCTGCTGATAGTAGCTGATCTTAATTAATTAGTCTCTTACTCCACATTTTCATGTTCTCTGTATGTGCTCTTATTGTATGTTCCATTCTATGCATCCAATGAAGTGAGCTGTAGCCCACGAAAGCTTATGCTCAAATCAATTTGTTAGTCTCTAAGGTGCCACAAGTACTCCTGTTCTTTTTGCGGCTACAGATTAACACGGCTGCTACTCTGAAACCTACCAATTCTGTATTTACCTCTTTATTAACAAAACTCCTAGATGTCTGAATAAAACACAAACCCCTTCCACCCCACCTTCCAATCCCTCAAACTGGTAGTTTCCAACATTAATGGTACACCATATTTGAGATTTAAAAAAAATAAAATACTGCTGTATCTTTACAACTGCCTCATATTTATTTTAATAATTCTGGACACTTTCATTTTTCATCTGAATGTTGCTATTGGGGTAGAAGGGAGAAGTACAAAATTTGACTTAATTTGTGATTCACTGTAAACAAACTAGGGCTCATTTACCCCTTTCTGTTGTAGGTAGGTGCATAGCTTGTTTTCTGGGTTCTTTATAAAAGACTGTCTGCCCTTGATCTGTGTGAGCACCTGTTAACATCAACAGGAGTGACAAGTCCAGATTAAAGGCTGTGTATGAGACACAAGTCTGGTGCCTACATCTTGTACTGGGTTTTTGTGTTAATGGATTTTTCATTTATTTTCCTCTGAAATGAGTGTGACACTGTCTAGAATGGCTCACAACTTTGAGTGCCTACCTCAGGGCAGACACCCCAAACTGGCCATGTGTTCTATAATTAGACTTCACCAAGCCAGTAACAAATGTGAACTCCTGGATTATTACAACAATCTTAACACTTAGTCACAGACAGTCCCCTTAGACTCTCCAGCCTATTTTGCCACCCAGACAAACTGGACTTAGTGAAAAATGGTCACTTATATAAAAAAATCACACCACATTCAGGTTGCTTCCAGTCCCATGAGACCAGTCACTTATCCCAGATTGATTGATACCCTAGCTCTTACACCAAAGACAATGCCTGTAGCCAATCCTGTAATAAACTGTCTAAACGTTTATTAACTAAGAAAGAAAGAAGCGTTATTTACAGGTTAAAGCAAGCAAATGTACACACAAATGAGTTTCCATCTAAATCTTAAGAGTGACAGAACTGTAGTGATCTGTCTATTCAAATTGTCTTTCAGGGCAGACCCTGGAGGATCTCTGGGGATGTCTGGCTTCAATTTAGAGTCTCTGGGCCCTTCAGAGTTCAAAAAGCCAAAAAGATATAGTTTCTTCTTGACAGGGATTTGTATTCCTTTCCCCCAGAGTACAAGATGTTGGGATGAGTTTAGGTGGAGGGGGAGCAATAAACAGTCTTTTGTCCTCTGATGTTCCACAGTGGTTTGTCCGGTATCTATGGGCCTTCTTTGGTTGGCAGGCAACAACCCCTCCTGTGACAATCTAGTATTTCACACTTGATGTTTTTCTCCTGACTAGGGAGATTTACATTTCAGAGCAAACACTTAAATACTAACTTGATAATATGGGCTATAGATATTATAAGTGAGATTAATGTATGCAGCAACATACAAGCATTTCATAGAGTCTAAACACATTCTTATAAGACTAATACCTGTTTTGAGCAAAACAAAAATACGTGTGACCTGGTCTGGTCCCCAGCTATGAGGTTGTCAGTTCTTAGCTAATGTATGCAGCCTGGGCAAGAACTGGCATCTAACCTGCCAGCATCACAATGAGCATTTTACTTAATGTGTATTTTATCATGAATCAGTCCAAATGTGTGCATGCTGATAAAACCATTCCGTAATATGAAGATGCTTCTTTACAGTGAGACAAACTAAACTTGTCATTTTAAACTTTTCATGCTACATCAAAAATTGGGGAGAGGTAGAAATAGTACTAAAATACGTAAGATAAGAACTTAAGTACAGAAAAAGTAAGTGTGCTTACTTTATGCCAAAGAGCTCCATGGCAGTGTACAGCACATAACATAACTCAAATAAATAAAATGTTAATCTACTTATTAAAATTCAAACAATCCATGTCCAATACAAAAAGATAAGTGATGACAGGATAAGGTAGTAAATTAGACTAACAGGTATACCAAAAAAATATAAGGGAAAAAACAACTCTGAAATGGTGGTAATTGGTGTGGGTTTTTAAGTAGGGGGGGAATAACAGATGAACATCAAGGGGAGTAGCTTTCATAGTAAAGATATGATTGGTTGCTCACTGAAGACATGATATCGAGATCTGTAAAAGTCAGGGGATGTGCTGAACATGCGTAGCAGTTCAGAGGAGCCTTGAGGAGATCTCATACTTAATCAGGGCTTGCACCATTTTGGGTTCCTAACATGAACAGTGTCAACTTGCTTAATATTAGAACAGCCTAGATTTTTGAAGACTTTCATTATAAAGTTAACTAACCTTTCAACTTCTTTGTTTTGCTTGACCAATATTGCTTTCTTTTCATGCTCTTTGTTTTGAACCTCTGGTAGTCTGTAGTGGTCTGTCGTCTGGGTTTTTTTTTGTTGTTGTTGCTTTTTGTTTTGGGAGCCGCTGTTTGTTTGTTTTGTTTGTTTGTTTGTTTTTGTTTTGTTTTGTTTTTATAGCCCTTGCTGAAAATGTGTTCTCTCCAGCACCACAATGAATTCTCCATATCTAGGATAATGTTTCTAATGCTAATTTTGTGGTCCTGAGCTTCACAAGAGGAACCAAATAGAATAACATGGAAATAGATATTGATCAAAGTTGTTCCATTTTTTACTTAAGTCATAAAATTTAAAGCTACAAATTTAACTTTTAGGAACAAAGCCCTGTTTATGGAAACAAGGAATCCCGTGGTGGCATTACATTTTTCAACAGGGATTTTCTATCTTGAATCAGTATAGAAACAATGCTCACTATAAGCAGTCTTTAAAATAAATAAACATAGACAAGGCAATCATCTTCTGAAATGTTCACTTAACATGGAGTATTTCTTTAGCATTCCAATACTATATACTGGGCAATCCCTTTTTTTAAATAGCTTTCATATTTTTCTTCATTTTAGTATCTCCTTAGAAATAAATACTTCATTATAGTATTTTGGCATCTTGAAGTATTTCAGAATGCAGATGAGTAAACTTGTATCTTCTCTCTTCACAGGGAAGTGTCTCTTTATGTCTGGGCTGAGTGAGGAACAATTGAACCATATGGATGACCACACTTTACCCCAAAAATATGGTATTGGATTTACAAACATGGTGGAAAGAACAACACCAGGTAGCAAAGACCTCTCCAGGTAGGAAAATGCAGGATAGTACCATATTTAAACAAGGAGTGGTAGCCAAGGTCTTAATCTCGAATGCAATTGTTTTTTCTCATTTAGCAAAGAGTTTCGAGAAGGAGGACGAATTCTGATGCAGAAATTGCAAAAGTATAAACCTCGCATAGCAGCTTTTAATGGAAAATGTGAGAATCTTAATTTTGAATCATTCTTTTTCCAGCAGCCTTCTATGTGGCGTATAATGATCTATCTTCATTTCATTTTAGGTATTTATGAAATTTTTAGTAAAGAAGTTTTTGGAGTAAAGATTAAAAAATTGGAATTTGGATTGCAACCCCACAAAGTTCCAGACACAGAAACTGTAAGTTCTTGCAAAGTTATTTCAACACTAGTGAAACCAATGAAACCCACTTACACCGGTGGTGAATTATGCCCAAAATGTGTGTGGGAAAGTGAAGGGGTCTTATTTAAACAGAAAAGAATGGGATTGGGCAAATATAATCCTTTCCTCAGCCAGACTTTTGTAGGGGTTTATAGGTTTGCTTTTGGAAATAGTGTATTATTGTCAGCAGGATAAGTTACATGCTGAAAAGGCATCTGTAGTCTGAATAAAAAAATTATTGACCATCATGAATACCCCTAATTCACCCACAAATAGGATATTTTAACTTGACAACAAGTATACCATTCAGAAACTCAAAAATCCAATCTAAATACTACGGTAACAACCCCCCCCCCCACACACACACACACACCACCTTCTTTGTTAACAAGGAGGTACTCGAGCATAGACGCCGACTCCATGGGTGCTTCAGGGGTGGAGCACCCACTGAGAAAAATTAAAAGGAGTACTTGTGGCACCCTAGAGACTAACCAATTTATTTGAGCATAAGCTTTCGTGAGCTACAGCTCACTTCATCAGATGCTATTACCAGCAGGAGAGTGAGTTTGTGTGTTACTCTCCTGCTGGTAATAGCATCTGATGAAGTGAGCTGTAGCTCACGAAAGCTTATGCTCCAATAAATTGGTTAGTCTCTAAGGTGCCACAAGTACTCCTTTTCTTTTTGCGAATACAGACTAACACGGCTGTTACTCTGAAACCTGAGAAAAATTAGCGGGTGTTTAGCACCCGCCGGCAGTCAAGCTCTCCCTGCAGCACCTCTCCCCTGCCAGCGGCCCCACTGGTCACGCCTCCTGCTCCCTCCCAGTGCCTCCTGCCTGCCACAAACAGCTGTTTCACAGCATGTAGGAAGGTGGGGGAGGAGCGGGGACAGGGCATGCTTGGGGGAGGAAGCAGGGAAGGGACAGAGCCGGGGTGGGAAGAAGCAGGGGCTTGGGGGAAGGGGTGGAGTGGGGGGTAGGGCCTGGGGTGGAGGGGAGTGTCGAGCACCCCCTGGCTAGAGGGAAGTCAGTGCTTGTGGACTCAAGGATGACCATGACACTAGTCCAAGCATGGGGGAGGGAACACGTAGTCAGGCACTGTGCTATTAGTGGTAGTAACAAAACTGCTGTATCTGAGCATGCAAGGGGATCAGTACTTTTAAATGCAGCCTTCTAAAGGTGACTTTCAGTTGCACTCTGTTGAATTTTGATGTTTCAATACAATTCTTTGAGGAAGAGTGTTCATGGTGGACTGTAAGTAATGAGTGGACCATAAAGTACTAGCATGGATGGAATATACATAGACTTGATCCACAAACTGTTCTTAAAATACCCCTTCGATGGATACCTTGAATTTTAATATTGTAACATATTGGTTGTGTTCTAATTCATAAACTCAAATACTGTATTATTCATAAATAAATATTGTAATACTTTATTGGACAAGTCACTTAATTTTTCTGAGTTAGTTTTAAATCTTAGTTTTTCTAGGGCAGATCCTCAGGTGGTGTAAATTGTCATAGCTCTGTCAGCTGATGATCTTACCTCTCTGTCCGAGGTAAGATCCTCAGCAGGTAAGCGAAAACAAGGACGTAAGTATTACCCAGTCTCATGAGGATTAATAAATGTTTGTACAAAAGCTTAAAAATATAAAGGTGATTAAGTGCTTAGTTATTCTTGAGGTTTTTACATATTGTATGCTTTACTGACCTCTAATTTAGCATTGCTTGCTTTTTGTTGTCTCTTTTGTAAAGCTCTGCTATGTTATGCCATCATCCAGTGCAAGATGTGCTCAGTTTCCACGTGCACAGGATAAAGTTCATTATTACATAAAGCTTAAAGATTTAAGGGATCAACTGAAAGGCATTACGCCAAACACAGAGGTGCAGGAGGTGCACTATACGTTTGATTTACAGCTTGCACAAGGTATAGTGCTTTTTGGTAATCTTTTTCTTAAAATGTATATGGTAGCCATATCATCAGGTTTGATATGAGATAGATAATATATAGAACCAGCAGTTATCAGGGTAGAAGGAAATTAAGAATTATAGGAAACACATAACTATATTCCCTCTAATTTACAACAGACTGTGTAGAACTAAACATGTTACTTATGTCATCTTTTCTTAATCTTAATTACCCATTATCTCATGGAAGGTGGGATAAGAACTTTGTTTAAAGTAAAAATACATGTATACAGTGTTGTGTTGTGTGATGTAATGTTCATGGTTTACTGTTATCCTGAAGATTAAGATATTTGAGGCCTTTTTCTCCAGAGGATGCTAAAAAGATGGCAGTTAAAGAAGAAAAATATGATCCAGGTTACGAAGCGGCATATGGTGGTGCTTATAGTGAGAAAACCCCCTATGAACATGAACAGTGTAACTTTGCTTCAAATGGAACAGGTAAAAAGTGATGCTTGTGGCTTTTAATCTCCAAGTCTTTACATACGAGGATTATTTTTCTGCATTTCTACCATTTCAGGCAGCTTCCACAGTTTTTGTTTAAAGTTTTGAAGAACAACATTTAAACTGTTAAATTTATAATTTCTTCTATATCATTTTATCAGGACATTAGGGCCCCCTTTTCTGTTTGGGGGGGAAGAGGGGAGACATTTTTTTTCTTTTTTCCTGGACACTCATTTGTATTTAAATAAAATATCTTCTGTAACTTCAGCGACTTTCCCAAAATCAGATTTTAGGGATTCTTACACAAATCTGTTGTGTAAAAATAACTAACCATTTACAAGTCATATATGGAATCAACCTAGTAGAGCATCATAATTATCATTTTTTGCCATAAATTTACATAGGGCTTTTCATTACAAAAGAAATGGTCATTACCTCTGAATTTATACTCTAAGAATAGCAAGACCTGACAAGTGATTAAATAAAAGAGAGAAATAAGGTTATCCCGTTCATCTTGCTACTGGTGACGGAGGATGTATTCAAATGTATTTTTCCTGTATCAGGATGGTTTGTGGTTCCCATATAACTTCATAAATTGATTTGAAGGCTAGTGTAAATGCACATTTTTGTATTAATACACTGTTAAGACTGAGAAATTAAAAAAACCCCACCAAAACCACAGACAGTGTAGTGTATCCCATTTAATGTTGTGTAGGAAACCTTAACTTTTGGTATTCCCCAACTTTGAGAACATTGTTTTAACTTTACATCAAAACTAGGTTTTGCACTTAACTTTTTTGTGGATTTCTAATTGTAAAGAGATATTGGGTGTTGGGGAGAAAAAAAGAAACATAGAGCTTATGTATGCTGTGGAGCCTGAACATTTCTTGACCTGGGACAGAGCTGCTATCTTGCAGATCTTTCACAAAGTACACAATTTCAGCCCCAAGTGAATTTGAGAAAACTATTAGCAACAGAAAAAACTCAAGGGGAGAATAGAATGAGAGTTGGAACTCTGACTGTAGCAGAATAGCCATTATTAGGAATTCTGGTTTTCATTTCAAACCAAAAATGGAGGAGGTCCCATTGGTCACAACTGAAGAACAGGTTTAAATTCTATATAGGGGAACTAATGAATAATTACCAACTTCTGATAATGGTCTTTAAATTTCATGTCCTAATCTTGTGCTCTGATGTAGATTGCTTCCTATATTGCTTCCTGTTCATGATCTTTCGAGTTCGTTTCTTAGTCTCATAATAGACTAAGAAACACAATGGGGTTTGGTGTGGTGTTATGAAGACTGGGTAGGCAGGATCCAAACAAAATTGAGAATTTTTACATGTGTTTTCTGTGTGTTCATTGCTAATGAAACAACTAATTTCTGCTCAGACTTGCTCAGTCACAATTCAAATAAATATAAGTTATTTTTTAGGAAGTTAACATGGATTAGAGAGTAATCAAAAGAAAATATTGAAAAGGAGTTAATGTAAAAACTGAAAACATGTCTCCGCACCACAGCAAACAGAGCGAATAGAAAAATGGGAGGCGGGGGGAGAAATGCTTGGAAAAAATTTTCATCAAAAGCAACTTTTCTGAAACTTTCCTACAAGTATGATGCCAGCTAAACTATTAATACTTTTGTTCGTTTCACTAGAAGTGAACAATCTAGACTACAGTGGGGGGTCATCCTTCGGTGACATTCCTAACGGACAGTGGATGATGCAGTCCTTCACAGACCAGATTCCAGAATTCAGTAACAGTGGGGCACAAGAGCAAGAAGAAAGCAGTGTGTAAAAGCTGCCTCTTTGGCAGCTATGCATAAATGCTGCAGTTTTAATGCAGTTATCAAGAATGGTACCTCAGTTCTCTAACTGAAGCATTTTAATAGTATTTTACTTGTTATTTTATTATAGTCCAAATCAATTGTGTGGTAGATTTAATCCTATGAAGTAAGTAATTTTTAAGGGAATGTCCAACATTTTAAAAAAAAAAAAAAAGTAGCCCTTTTTGTATATGAGTTTTATATTTAACTTACATTATTTCTTGCAGTTTGACAAACTGCTTTCTCGTATGTGAAGACTGATTTCTTTTGGGGTTACTTTAATTCTGTAATTTGTAGTGCAGTAGTTTGTGGAATTCTACTTTTTACTGATTCCTTCATATGGGGGGATATTTTAACCCTTTTATATGCAGAGTGGAAAATGGGAACATAAAAGCCACTTGCTGATTAAGATTACCACTGTTGCTTGACAGTGTAGCCCTGCTCTCACAGGGAATAGGGTTTTAAAGTCAATGTAGTTACATGAATTGTGCATTTTCAAGGCCTGCCTTCTGTTCTCTGCCACAAGTGAGAGTTTCCCACTTTGCTTTCCAAGCTCCATCCCCATTTAGCTCATTTGCCATTTGGCACCTGGAGCCTAAGACACTTGAGACCTCATCTCCCCCACCTTGTAAAAGGGGGGAGGAGAATCCAGTTTGTTGAGCGGGGGCAGGGCTTGAAGACTCCTGCTTAGTTGTCTTGAATAAGGCTGCCTAGTATCAGCTTCATCCTCTAAGAAATGAGGTGGAGCCGGTTGGGCTCTGTGGAGCTGAAGTGCCCTCCCTCTCCTCCATGGCTGGTCTCTGACTTCCCACTTGGCTTACACTGAGCAGCTCCTTATGGTGCAACAGTAGCACTAAATGGGGGGAGAGCACACCTTGGTACTGGCCAGCTTAGAGAGCATGCTTTCAGACAATGGGGAGGCCATACTCCCTGTAAAATATAAAAGCAGACACCTTATTTGCACATGTCACCAAGAGGGAAAACTAGCATGGGGCTGGAACAGGGATTAGGGGGGTTTCTCCTCCTTGCTTCCTCTTCCCCCCCCCTCCTCCCACCCCCAAATAATTATGGTATGAAGTTAAAGCCACGGGCGGCTGCTATGTGAATATAAAGTCAACCCTGGAAAATAGTCTTCTAAAGTACTTTAATAGTTTGTGTTTCTAGACAAACTTTGACTTATGTGGCCAATGTAATATTCAGGGAGTGAAATGAGTTTTCCATGCCTGTGTATAAAATATCACTCTCTTTCCCTCTTTTGAACAGAGAGGGGAAGATATGTCTTGAAGTAAAAGCAATAAGCTGATCAAAACATTTAATGTTTTGGTGATCTTATGAGAGTAGGTGCTTTGTATACTTGAAATATGCACAAACTGTATCTTCTTAATCCAAACTGGTCAGATATTACACTACCAGAGATTTTATCCTTTCTTCCACGCTTTGGCAGTTGCTGTCATGGATTGAATGGAACCAGGCAATGCAGAACCTAAGCCTGCTAACAACTTTGGATCTCACACACCCAGGTAGCACACTGCCAGCTCAGTGGGAGGCAGGCATGATGTTTACAGTTCTCTTCCCCAGTTGTGTGTCTTAATCATAAGAGAAATTTTTAAATCAAGACAAAATGTGCGTTGTGGTTCTGATCATGTTTGTTAGCCTCAGTGTAAAGCTGTTCATTATGTGGTCAAAGATATATGGAAATTGTTCATTTGTTATTTAAAATGTACTGTATCCTGTATCGCTGTTTACATGGACATGTTCCTGCAGGTGCTCAAAAGTGCCTTGCATCAGGGATTTGTAACAATTCGATTTATTTTTCAACAAAAGTATGTGAAGCATGTAACTACTATTGCTGAGTAGATAGTGCAATAGTACATAAATTCTGTAAAGGTGGCTTTTTAATTTGAAGGGAAAGTTCTGTTCTTTGACAGAGGTGCCTACTAGATTATGTAGGGATAAAGTAGAGTTAAATGTACAATGACAGTTTCATTAAATATGGCAAGTAATGTGTGTGCATTCTCTCAAATTGGTGCTGTAACATGGAGGTTTTAAATCCACCTTGAAAATCTACCGGTGTTTCACAATAAAATCAGGAATTGTACTGGAATATCTTATTGCGTTAAAGTGTGATATTTTGCCCTCTGACTAGTGATGGGATCTGATTATGATGCATGTAAACACCTGCTGAATGGCTTCACTGTAGTGTTTTGAAAAGAAGCACTAAGTGGCTGCACTGAAAAAGAAAATTAGACCTATTGAAATGTTTTTCATTCATTTTGGTTTAATGCTGCTTAAAAAAAACAGGACTAGAAAGCTAAAACATCTTGTACTCAGCACTAAGTACTGCTCGTATAGATTCAACAAGCAAGTGGAATCTTCTTTAGAGGATACAAAACATTGCATGAAAACCCATTCTGTTTAGTCCTGATTTTCATATTTGTAAACATTTTAAAATCAAGTAAACATATCTCACAATATTACTAGAAACTCAAGCTAATCTGAAGTTTGTATGTGTGTTTTACCCCCACACTAGTACATTAACTCAACATTTATTTTTAGGGTGAAGCTTAAATACTTAGGGTTAGTTTTGTAAAATCAGTTACACATACAGTTTTACACAATAGTTATATTACACAGAAGATAAACTGTATTGCAAAGTATGGTATAGAAATAGAATAATCCATTACGATCTTGCTGGAAACGGATTTATTTTTAAAAGCATAAACATTTTAGATGTCTTTCAGTATCAGCTATTGGGACGAATCATTTTGAACTTCCCTGATGGGTCAGGGATAAACCAGTTTTCCCATAGGTCATTATGAACACTAGGGTAATCCCAAGGTTTATACCTTCCATTCCAATGAAGTAATTTAGCTTCTTGAAGAAAATGCTCTGAATACCTGGCATCGGGACTCCACCCTGTGTGGTTTTAAACATAAATAAATCTCTAGCTTTCATAAAGATCGGTATTGGAAGATACTATGCAATTAAACAAAGTACAACTTTTATTAAAACTGATTTAAAGAAAAAATACACGAATTAGTATACTTTTTACTGGTACTAAACATGAAGGGCTATTTTGTAAAAGAGTGTTGATAAACTTACTTCTGCGCTGCCTTCAGAGCTGGGTGGCTGGAGAGCGACAGCCGGTGGCCGGGAAGTGGGGCTGTTGGCCTGGCACTCGGCTCTGAAGGCAGCACCCCGCCAGCAGCAGCAGTGCAGAAGGTTGGCAATACCATACCATGCCACTCATACTTCTGCCTTCAGAGCTGGGTGGCTGCTGATCAAGGGCCCAGCTCTGCAGGCAGCAGCACGGAAGTAAGGGTGGCAATACCACACCAGGCCATCTTTACTGCTGAGCTGCTGCTGACAGCAGCTCTGCCTTCAGAGCTGGGCTCCTGGCCAGCAGCTGCCACTCTAGCTGCCCAGCACTGAAGGCAGTGCTGCCGCCAGCAGCAGGGCAGAAGTACCACAACCCCCTCCTACAGTAACCTTGCGGCCCTCCCACAACTCCTTGTGGGTCAGGACCCCTACAGTTACAACACGTTTCTGATTTAAATTGCTGAAATCATGAAATTTATGATTTTTAAACTCTCATGAAATTGATCAAAATGGACCATGAATTTGGTAGGGCCATACAAATGATATGCTGCTTTACAAACCAGAGGAGGTGGCCCGCTATTGCCAATAAGATCTGGCTAGCTCTTTGTGTAAAATACCTATTCCACCTTTAACCCCAGCCCAAGGGCTGTTATAGGTGATTTAGCCTGCAACTGCTTCTCAGCCCCTGGCTTTGTAGAGCTTAATACCAGAAGGACCCATCAGATCACCTAGCCTGACCTCCTGCATGTCATTGGTGGTTACATTTCACCCCTGTATTGAGCCCAATAACTTGTGTGGTTAAAGAATATCTTCCAGGAATGTGGTTAATTTGAAGACTGGGAGGGAGGAGAAGCTTCAAGTAAATAGCTATAGTAGGACAAGGAAAGCGATAAAGGGCTAATTTTGAATCTGGAAGGAAGGGGAATGAGTGTAGAGCAGTGATGTGGGATCTGAGGCATAAAGTAGTGTACTGAGGATGAGCAAAATCATCCATAGGGTCCTTAAATCTTATTTGTATTTTGTTCCAGCCCAGAGTGTTTTGAAATGAAACATACTTACCAAGATGTCGCACATGCCACAAGGGATTAATAGTGGAATATTTTCCATGGAATACAATGAGCATTGGAGAAGTGGCCACACCTCCCCCAAGGGTGCTGCTGTAGAGGTTTTCTCTGTGAAAAGGCAAAAAAGAGCAGCTCAAAGTCCTGAAATGAAAAGGAACTTTACTACAAAACCAGAAGGCAAAAGCAATAAATAGTAATGTTCTACCTAATTTACTATTAAAATCTGCTTTGTATAGATTGAAACGCTACTTCTTTACCTAATTTGAAATATGCACCTTTTTACTGGCATTCCAACACTTACAGATTTTTCTTCTTCTAATTGTGGACAATGTTTGGTGCTGTATAAGAAATCTTGCCAATGTCTACCACTCTTACTCATGCTGAGTCGTACCTTACTCTGTAAGTAGTCCCAGCAAAATCAATGGGTTGCCTCAGGGTGGCAGAAATGAAATCACTGGGATTCCTCTCAGAATGAGGGGCTACTCAGTCGGAGCGTGGCAGAACCTGACCTAAAATGAAGCCAACCCCTGTTCAGAAGTGGCTAAAGTTTAAATGACTGGCACAGCATTTACAGATACAAAAGGTAGTCCACATGAGACCTGGAAGGGGTGCTTTTATTGGGGGCTCAAACGCCAGGTACAGAGAATGTGTGGGCACTTTAAAATGTAAAAACCCTTTGTTATATCTTTACAGCAATTTGCTTTAGTGTTCATGGGTATTTTTCTAAGCATTAAAAAGGGATAAAAAAAATCAAGTGTTAGGCCAAATGAGACATGCAGAATAAGTGAGAGAGGAAGGAGGGAACTGGGGAAGGCTTCTGTTCATATGCAGTGTAGTTGTAGCTGTTGGTCCCAGGATATTATTCTTCCTCCCCTGGTTCTCTGTGCTTCCTTCCCCGGCTTTCATTTGCTTTCCCAGGGTAGCAGAAAACTGACAAGTGGTCAACACTGTGATCCATTTTCATTTCAGCTCTGCTTTACTGCAGTTCGACTTACCCTGTGCGGAATACAGCAGGTGACATTCAAGTTATCAACACACGCTGACAATGGATTGATACCACAAATACTTTGTGAATAGACTCATGTCATTGACCATACACTGGTTTTTAAAGAGAATGCCATAGTCGTCCCTCACCCCCACCACTTCTCATAGTGGAATTGCCACTTTTTACAGCTTCTTAGGGTTGGGTCTTTTTCGGATTTTCAGCAGTTTATGTAAATTATGGCTTATCTTTTTAGGAAGAAAAATGGGCTTTTCTTTGTGTTTAAGAAATGGTTCTTGGGTTGTGTAAAAAAACTGTCCCCTTTCCAGTATTGCTGACATTGCAGTTTATAGGGCCCACTGCAAGAAGGAGAGATCAGCCCTCCCCCTAAGCAGCCTGATCCTGAATGGGGCGGATCATCCACAATGAAAACTGCAGGTGCTCAGCACCTCTCAGGATTAGGCCTGGCTTGCTGAGTCAGCACAAGACTGCAGAGGCCCAAGTGGTCACTTTATGTTGTTCGTGACTGCAGTTGGATTAAAACAGGTGGAAATTGTGCAACATAAGGTTATCTTGCCTTACGATCTGTGAAAGGAAGCACATCTTAAGTAATGGACCTTTGAAAAACGAACAGAAAATTCAACTTTAAACAGCACATTCAGTCAGGATAAAGTGAAGACTTTGATATCTGTACATACTCTACATTTCTTTGCATCCATTTTTCTAATTGCTTTGTAATCCGCTGGTGCTTCCATTCTGTCATATTAGCCACAATTACACCAGGGTTAAAGGAGCAAGTGCTGGGGCTGATGCCAAGGTCTCTAATTGTTTGCTTCCGGTAGTCCAGATATCCCATGTATGTGTTCTAGAGAGAAGGAAAATTATATATATCTCTACTATAAATCTAATTTATGTCTAGATATACTTAGATGCAGCTGAATCTACCTCATGCACATGCAGAATACATAGGCATTGAACAATAAGCTCTGAGAACTTGATTTCTAGATGATTATTACCTGCCTTGACTTCAGTGTGAGGCACAAGGCTAAAGGACAGGATATTCTGATCATTATGTGTTAGTGATATTTCCATGGGAGTCCTACAGGGCTTTGTCTTTTGACCCACTCCTCTTCTCCCTTTACACCTTACTCTAGGTGATCTAGCATAAGACCAGTGTGGTTATCGTAAAGCTACTGGACTTTAATGGCAGTTGCAGATGTTCCGTACCACTCAGGATTTGGTTTTCAAACGATATCTTTTGAGCAGCCCACAAAGTTCAACCCTCACTCCCTCTCAGTTAACAGAAAGTCTAATATCAATCCTATCAATACTCTCTTCTAAATATGTTGCACATGTGACCTACCAAAACAAGAAGAGTTTAGTAAAATACAAAACATACTGCAAAAGAATCAGGAGACAGCGCATCTTAAGATGATTACAGGAAACAATTCCCCTTACTAAACTATGTATCTAAATCCAAATACTACACTTTACCCTGAGAAAACTTTCATTTTGGGATGAAGAAAATCATGCTAAATCTGTAGGTAAAAAATCCATCAACAATCTGAATTTAAAACTAACATCTTACCTGCATTCCTACACTTCTCACCATTTCATGAGTAGAAGGCAAATCACAGTCGTCTGAAAAAGCTGCAGCATGGCCTGGATCTAGCTTTGTGTCATACAGTTCCTGGATGTCACCTGATAATACAGAATTGGGAGTCTAAGAATGGTTTTGTTTCATTGCCATGTATCTGTCCTTTGAGCTGTTTAGGACAATATCTGTTCTCAGTTACACTGGTATAACCCTATCAATTTCAAGGGATTGCTTGGATGTAAGGCAGGCAGAATTTTGCTCTGTGGGCATTAGTTTCAAACATAGGTCCTGTAACTGGAAGTCAAAATCCTATATTTGCATGTATTCATCTATACTTAAAGTGCCTACATGCGGATTTGAAG